CACTGAATACCCCTAGCTTTCTTCAGAAAATAAGAACCTATTTAAGAACCTTCATAACCTAAATTGGTGCTAATAACCATTTATTTAAAAACCTGTTCAGGCGAACTTGGGAAAATGCCGGTTCTTTGTTGCGGGTTTTCACCGTAATACACGATAGAGATGAACTTTGGAAAATTTCCTATTGTATGACCATTCAAATGAAACGTCTTTAGCTGCACTCTGACGAAATTAAATTTGGGTTTTCTCTTGAACGTCCATATGAGTGTTGTGAAACAATCTCTGTGTTGATTTTTCCGCAGGTACTCGTCCAGCCAGTAGATGGGCCAATCCAGCAGTCATTGCCATTATTCTGGTCATCCTCCTCGCAATTCTTATCATCATTGGCGCTGTTCTTCTAAAGCGACGTCCAAAACCCACTATGGTAGCTGTAGTGGAGGATGGGCACGTTCACGATAACATCCGACCATACCATGATGAAGGCGCTGGCGAGGAGGATAACTTCGGCTATGATATATCAACGCTTATGAAGTACACTTACATTGAGAACGGCATGGCCGGCGCTGGCGGTGTCGGTTACGGCAAGTTTAAAGACGGTGGCGCCGGCAACGGCGGAGAGGAGGAGTTTACTGTCAGTGAAAGCAAACCGCTTCTACAAGGCGCGATGCCTGGTGCTGGGTTACATCACGGAGTAACCACCATCACGAAGCGTCGAGTTGTGCATCCAGATAGTATCGATGTAAAACAGTTCATTGACACGCGCGTTCACGAGGCTGATGGCGAGTACATTCTTTCCATTGATGAGCTGCATATTTATCGCTACGAGGGGGATGATTCTGACGTAGACGACTTAAGTGAGTTGGGTGATAGTGATGAGGAACCGGATGAAGAAGAAGAGCAGGAGTTTGCGTTCTTGCAAGAGTGGGGTAGAAAATTCGATAACCTTAACCGGATTTTCAACGAAGATGATTAACTCAGTCAAGCGCACAACTCAGCACCGTTTTGTAAGCAAATCTCTTAAACCTTTACGTCGAAAAGCAACATGGCAACAGGTGGTGTCAGGACGTAAACATTTGATTTTACAAGGACCATTCCACCGTCACACGTAAAATGCTTGTATGTTTCTCCGAGTCGTTCACTACAACCAAGTAACTCTTTAAACATTGTGGTTAAACAGGCTGGTTGATGCATTGACACACATAAAAGTGTATCACTGACGTCACAATGATCCTAGGATAAGTTTGCTCCCATATAAATCGAGAGTTAGATAGTCTTAAAAGTAATGAATAGTCTCTTAATGTTGAAACTTTACGCACGTAGATTTTGACTAAGAAAACTTCTTTAGGGAGCTTTCCGTCTATGTGCGGTTAAGAAACTTGAACAGTACCGTAGCTAGCTTAAAATAAATCGAAGTTCTTGCCTTATTGCGATTAATACTTTTCGTTTGTGACCGACGGCCAGCCACTAGACCTAACTAACTGTTCTTGCCTTTCTTGCTTCACTTGCCTGGTCTGTTTTGAAAGTTTAGCAACGGCACACCACAGTTGTGGTACTTTTTTCTACTTGAATAATAACTGTACATTTGTTTCGTATCCTAAAATTTTTTAGGATCATAAAATTTGCTCATCAGGGTGATATGAAAAGCCTTGCTTTTCGCTCGTTGTAATTATTAGAATTGTATTTCCTTCTTTGAGTGGAAGGGTTTAGAATTAGTAGTAGCTAGTTTCATCAGTAGCTAGTTTCATTTGATTGCCTTAAGCTGAGACCACGTCTCAAACTCAAAGATGAGATTTAAAAACGCCCCAATTGAATAGAATAATGTAGGATATTTTCTCATTTAAGGAGTGAGGTCATTTTTGCTTGAGATTTTGCCACAACTATTCTTCACTTAGCAAATGATGCGAAAGTACCGATGTCCGATTATCATACTTTGAGTTAACGTGCTCAGTCATACATAAATTATTGCGGCGAATTTTATAACTGTATGACCATTAAAATTGGTATGCTACGTGACTAAACACTTGAATAATCTACTGTTCACGTAGCCTGCGTGACAGTCGTTTGAAAGGAAAGGGGATGGCGATTTCGGGCGCGTGAGAAACGCGTGCGAAAGGCGCGCGAGGGAAAGATCTCGCGACCAAATTCATTTGCCCTTCCCTTTCGAACGTCGGCCACGCAGGCAACTGTTCACGCATCGAGGTGCGCAAAATTCGCCGTAGCCCAAAACCACAGGACCTCGCCCCTTGACTGATGAGAGCCTTTTTTATAAGAAAAATATTGTCAGTTGAATTAGTTCTTCCTTGAAGAAGAGAAAAGCCAAACCTTTTGGTCTCTGCGGAAGCTGTCTGCAAGACGATCACCGTCTTTCGCTGTTGTCCGCTTGTTGTACAAGTTGGACCACTCGAGTAGTAGTCAAGCGAGTAAGACGAGTGTACGCGAAAACTCATGCGCGGACTTTCTTATTCCTGTCATAGTATTAGACAAGGGGAACTATTAGTATCGGACAAGTGCTATCGCAAAATTAGCTGTGTAGTCGCGGATAAATGATATTGGAAAAAAGTTTTTATATGTGTTGCAAAGTATTTAAGATTTTGTTTTTGATTTAAGTAGAGACACCTTTGTTGAAAAGTAGAGTGCTAGCGAAGATATTTTGCTAAGCTGTAATAAAAGAACTTGCCAATAAAAGTATGTTTGCAGTAAAAATACGTAGTGGTGTAACGGACGCGCTGATTATGGAACGCTGTTTACTGCGTAAGAGACTCGAAGAACGCGAAAGGGTATTAAAAAATGTATTGTTACTTCAGTGGGTGCAAACTATATAACGATGGATGAGTTACCATCACTTAAAGAAATCGCGCAAATGCATAAGCATACATGCTATATATATTCCCTCTGTATACTAAGCGTTGCTGCGAACGTCGACAAAGAACAAGGTGTTTGTTCGTACCACACAAGTCGATCTACGAAAGCCAAAAAATGTAAGCGAATCAACTTAAAGAGTAGGAACCGTTGAGTCTTTCTAAGCCGTAAAATCGTGCTTTTAGAGAGTCTAGTTCGATTGTAATGAGTCATTGACAGCCTCCACTCATAATTGACAAAACTCGGCTCGATAACTATTTTCTGTTCCAGAAATGGGCCCCAGCTCCTGAACGAACCAGCGGCGGAAATCGAGCCTTTGATAAAACTGAAGACTTCAGTTAGGTTAACGTCAATGAAACGTTGGCAGCTAGAAACAATTTTCTTAGACGCACTGAATTCTTGTGAATCTGATATTCGGGTGAAAGTGTGTTTGACAGAAGATCACGGTCTCTCCGGCTGTTTCTTGACCTTTATCGTTTATTGAAGGGCCTTCCAGCTGGTCGCTTTTAAAGACCGCGTTAATTTTGTCAAGTGTATTAATCAGTGTTTTCTGAGTCTGTCTTTCGCCTCTCCTCTTCTCCTTTTTAAACTTCTTTTTAAAAAGCTACAAGCTAGACCTTCTCGTGAAATATTGGAGGTATTTGCTTTTCGCAAAAGAGAAGTGTCTTGAAATGATCAAGAAAAATGTTGAATATGGATTACTGTAGTGAGACTGTACCGAAAACATTGACTGCACTTAAAACATGATTTATTTCTTTTGAAGTGCCAGTGGGTTTTAATAATAAACTAATCGCGAGTCTTCTCGAATCACCTGTTTCGCTTATTAATAGCGGTTAGGAATTGAGAAAAGGATTCTATGTATGGCAACTTTATTTCGAATATTGAAGTCTTTTTATTACCCTGGATGCCATGCAGTGTTTTTTCCTCCCCTAAATTAATGAAGAATCTCGCGGGAAGATTTTTGTCGTAATCTGCTGCTATATTGGAAAGCCGTAAAAGGGTCTAGTATCTTGAGGAACTTAAAAATTTTCTTAAAAAACAGTTTTTGGCACACCTCAAAAAAGAAAAAGGAAATTAAAGACAGCTATCTGCTTTATTGATACAAAAAAAGACAACAAGAAAAATCTCTTGACTGAAACAGATGTGTGGTCGTTTCGTCGGATAATTCCCCTCTGCTTTATCTTAATCAAAACGCTGATAAATGATTCCGGACAAGAGAGAATTAAGATTGGTCAAAAATAAATGAGAAGCTAGAATTATTTCATGTTCTTATCTTTAAATTTGTTTTCGCTAGTAAAAAATCACAAGAAATTGGAAACAAAGTAATGGAAACCCTAACATTTCAGGCTTGGCTTATATGGATATTTTCTTCAGTTTCAACCAATTTATCTGATCGATCATTCATCAGCGTCATGACAAAGATAGCATTAAAGATAATTCTTTATCCTATTTTGATTTGTAGAAAAAGGGCTTCAAAACTATTGTCTGTTTGCGTATGTAAAGCGTCTTTAAAGGATGCCTAAGGCATTTTAGTTTTATAAACATCAAAAGAAAAGTAAATATTTGTCGTTTAAGCTAAACTGCAAAGCGCTTAATGTCCTGGAAAAAGAAGTGAGTTTATTTTCCATTAAGTAGGTTAATGTTAAACCTACCTTTACTGAAAACCTGGTCAACTGAAACAAGAAAAAATTTTCACACTCGCTTACTGTAATAGGAGTTCGAGTGTTGATAAAAGTCTCCGGTGAGACACCTGCCGGTTAAGTTTTAGATAGGAGAAGGATTCGTTTTTTCACGTATCAGCTCTGCGTGTGGTTGACAAGTACTTAACGCCAGGAATAAGCTTGTTTAGAATTTGATTAAACAAACTTTTCCCGAAGAATGCCAAAAATAAACTCTTCAAAGATCTTTAAACATAGCGGATAGCTAACAGAAGACTTTTAAAACCCTATCAGAGGCTTACCTAACCAGTTTGGGGCCCGGAGTTTCGTCACCTGAACCTCGTATTTTAGCGAAGTGCATAAAATTTTCGTCTTTTTTTAACAGGTGTTCGCAATGTAATACGCACAATTCAGCAAAGCTGTTACACGCGCGTTTTCATTGGTTTACTTTGAAATTAATTGACGCACATTCACAGCTATTGAAGGCCAAACAATGCTAGTTTAGTGTTTAGCGGAGCTCGTCTCTCAGAAGCACGCGGACAGTGCTTGTACGAAAGAGACAAAGGAAAATGAAAACTCATACAAGACGCTTTGACTAAGATATTTATTGTTTACACGAACTGAAGTTATTTTATTGGAAATTTAACCAGGAGAGCGCTTTATATCGCCGGCTCAGTCGCACGGTAACCAGTTGTTTACAATCACGGGCTCGTTCTCAGTCATCTGTCAGTTTTATCCGCTGCCGAAGCGCGTAACTAGTTCATTTGGAAGCTGTGGAGTTTAAGTCCGGCTTAAACCATGGAGAAATCCCTGCGGCAAGAAACAGCGACGATTATTAACTTTTCATGAAGATCACTTTTTGTCGAGATTACGGCCGGAATAATATTTTTCACTATAACAACACAGATCTCGTCTCTGAAAAAGTATGCCTGGAAAGCGCATATTACCACGTGCAAGTTGTACGGTAAATTGCTACTTATTGTTTATAGGAATTATTTACTGCTCGCACTTTTTCGAGAATGGAATATCGTTTGAAATTATAGAAGTCTTCGAGGGTTTACCGCCTGGAAGTGCTATTTTGAACTTGAACCGAAACTATAGCGTTGCTTACTCGCTATATCACAGTTCTGCAACAGCTGATGGTTCCAACCTGTTTTATATTGACTCAAAGGGGATTCTCACTTCCAAAGTAACTTTGGATCACGAAGATGAGCGAGGAAACGTGTTTGATTTGGTGGTAATATCGCGGGAAATCTCCAGAACTGAAGGTGGCCTTGCCAGCATTGTGCGTGTTCGAATACTCGATCAGAACGATCACACGCCCAAATTTCCCAAAGATTTATATACTGCCACGGTGGCAGAGAATAGCCCTATTGGCACTTTTGTTTCTGGTCTTGAGAGCATTTACGCTAGTGACTTAGATAGTGGAAAAAATTCGGTTCAAAACTACAGCATCGTGGCTGGAAACGAGGCGGGGAAGTTTGAAGTCGATTTCCATGTACTTTCTGGTTTGAAATTTTTACGCCTAAAAACCAAGGCGCCCATCGACAGAGAAGAAACACCGTTTTTTGTCTTGACAGTGAAGGTTGAAGACGGGGGAACTCCGCAACTTTCAAGCACTGCTCAAATACGAGTAAATATTCTTGACGAGAATGATCAAACGCCGAAGTTTGGACTGCCTACTTACTCGGTTGCTGTCAGTGAAAATGTACTCGTGGGAACTTCGGTTTTGAAAGTAAACGCTTTTGATGTGGACATTAGCAGGAACGCTGAAATTTATTATTATTTTAAACCTGCTCACGACTTCTTTACAGTAAATGCTCATACAGGCATAGTAGAGACAGCATGTGAGCTAAATTTCCAGAAGGGAAGTTCCTTTGATCTTACGATTTATGCAATGGATCGTGGAAGAAATCCGCGGCAAGCAAAGACTATCGTGCGAATTCGTCTTGTGGATATCGCAGGTTTTCCGCCGTCTTCCCTGGGAGTAATTTCTAGTGAAAGGACACCACCTGTCTTCCGTAAACACAAGTATTTCGTGAGAATAAGAGAAGATTTTCCTGTTGGAGGTGCCATTGTTCGAGTGGAGGCTCATCAGGGAAGCGGGTTTTACACAGAAGAAAAAGCTTGGAGATATGTAATTTTGAACAAACCGTCTATTATTCAAACAATTTTCGACATTAATCCTCGAAGCGGGGTAATTACTCTCCTTGAACCCTTGGATTATGAAAACAAAACCTCGTTTTCTGTCATCGTTAAAGTGAAAGACGAGGAGTCTAAAGATTTTTATGAATCACAAGCGCGGGTAGAGATTGTAATTGAAGATGTCAATGAAAATTATTTCCCGCCAATTTTTGCCCGTTCTACGTTGATCGTTCCGATTTCAGAGAATGACCGCGAAGATTCTCTTGTTGCAAAGATTTCAGCCACTGATGCTGACGAAGGAAGTAACGGACAAATTACTTACTCTATTACGGGAGGATCTGGAGTGGGAAAATTTAATATCGATAGAGACAATGGGAAAATACGATCTCTTGTTCCATTCAACCTTGAAATGGCCTCGCAATTTGACTTACACGTGCGGGCTAGCGACCGTTCAAAACAACCGCTTCATTCCAATTCATTCATGTTGGTTAGATTACAAAGCGGCAGACAAAAAAGGCCATTCTTTTCAAATCCAAAGCAGGTTGTCAGTGTTCGAGAAAACAGCGAAAAGGGGACGTTCGTGGCTTTGGTTCGAGCGAGTCTACGTGAAGGAAGGTCAAGAAGCGAAACGCCATTGGAGTATTTTTTCTCAGGCGGAAATCAAGGCGGAATATTTTCGTTGAATTCCACTTCAGGCAAGTATGTTTCTTTTTAATTAAAACGCCTAAGGGAAATTATAAAGTAAACAACAGGAGCATTGGAGTCTTGATACGTTCAAAGTTGTGGGGTGATCAATTTGAGCTTATATTAATAACAAAGCCTCTTTCTCTGATGTGGAATCGCGCGAGTCCGGCCTCAAACAATGTAATGACAAGGAAGAAATATTCTGAAAATACCAAAAAAGGCTTTCCGCACGTAAATGGAGTTTCATACATAATTCACACCTCGGAAAGTACAGTTCTGGTTACACACCATCACCTGCAATACGTTTAATTGAGAAAAGCATTAATAGGTCATTGAGATGCGCTAGATTTTCATAATAATAGTTCTGAATTATTGGTGGAAAATGTTGTTTGTGGCGTGTCATTCAACAAAAATGCAATAATCGCACGTAGGTTCACTGTATGGATTGTATTGCCAGCGATTATGTAGCCCTCTGCGTGAAATAAGGTATTGAACCGCGAAGTGTGAAAATACAATAATTTGTTGCATGATAGAAGGCTAGATAAGATGCTCTTGGGGAAAATCTTCCCATGACAGGTGGTGGAACTCCAATTTTATTTTCATTTTTTATACAATTCTAATACGGCGCTGTTTATTGAAATGCCAAGTTCAGACAGCTAATATTTTAAATCAAGGCATTTCCAAGATAGAAATAACAGAGTTTTCATCTTGACCAAATTTAAATTCAATTAATAAAATATGTTCAGATGATGAGGCTGACTTTAAAAAACTTGTGGATAAGGCATAATTTTGATACGATTTTAAACAAAAATTGAATATTTGCCTTGATCATAGCTGAGAAGTAATTTTAAAATAATTATCAACCAAATTGCATCTTTTGTGAACAAAATTGGCCAAGTTTTTCTTGTCTTAATTTTGGTACTAGGTTTTTAATAAGCTTGATCAACTGCATCAGACTTCTTTTTTATATTCTTTCATTTATGGTTTTAAAGGTGATTTAATTATGGTAATATCTACGATTTTGAAGGGTTCATGATCATTGGTCTTCGTATTAGCTTGTCTTGTTCTTGTTATTTAGTTACTATCATGGTCTCAAATGAATCTTGTTTAGGAAGATCTTTGTCTGCAAGCCACAATGTTTTTTAGGATAAATTTTCCACCAAGATAGACTTAATAAAAAAACAAGGAAACTGGATGCATTTCTTAGACATCACTTTTTTCCTTATTTAGTAGAGAAAATTGCAAAGAATAAAAGAAGAAGCCTTTTACTTTTTGAAGCTTTAATTACTTTGAAAAACACTATGAACACACATGTATGTTTGCCTGAGAAAAAAATTGTGTTCAGTTATCCCAACCCCAACTGTTTTAGCTGATAAAGGATATTTTTGATACTTTTCAAGATAGAATGTCATCCTTTTAAAACCAAAATCATGCATTTCACTTGCGCACTACTGCAGATAGCTTGCTTATCTATGAAATAGACCTTTTATCTCCATTTCACATGTGCAAACCCAATACTCTTGTCCACCATAGTCGTTACAAATTTATGCATATTACAAACAAAGCTCTCTTATCAGACACTCTTGTGAGTACGGAGTGTCGGGGGGGTGGGGGGGAGAGCACTCTTCTATGAAAATAATGGGTATGTTTGCTGAAAGTTTATACTAATCCCTAAAGGGGAACCAACAGGGTGTGAGTCAGGTCTTATTTGACCCCTAAAGGTCAGCATACTCCAACACAGCATGCTGGCAGTAATGAGTGTTGGCTTTCTGTACTTAACACCCTAAGTGAGACTTAAATCTGCCATTTCTTTTCTCCCAAGTGAGATGATGAGCATTCCTCTCATTGTCATGTGGAAGTAGCGAGTTGGGGGGGGGGGGGGGTTTCTTCCAAAAATTTGGGATGGCTGTGGGCCGCTAAGGGTTTTCGACTTTGCCCCTTTTTGGGGTTGAGCCAAAAGAATTCTGATAAATTTTCCCCTAAAAAAGAAAAAACATTAATTTTACATAA